AGCGTTTCCTTTTTTCTTTCTTCTGAATTTATCATAATGGATCTTAACTCTCACTACTTTTTTAATTATGCTATCTTTGCAATGATTACATATTATTCTACTTGGTTGATCACTTAATATGGTCACTTTATTCTACCCACTAGCCTAATTTCTTCCTTCTAACTGATACTTTGACATGTTAATGTCTAATAAAGACGTATAGTTCAATTCTATTTTAAATTTGACTAAAAAGTCAAATAACTCAGTTAAACAATAAATTTATGTCAGAAAAAAATGCAATCTGATAATAAATTACGCTTTTGTGTAAAAAAATATAACTTAAAAAAATGATAAATAGCTTTTAAATTACTATTAATTTATCAAACTTTTGTTACTAAAGATTTGTACGCAACTTAAGTGAACACCCAAAAACCCAATAAACCACCCAAAAACCCAGTTGGATTGAGTTTTTGCTCATAAAACCCAGGTTTTTGCCAACCCTGATATGTGTTCATCGTTTTTACCATATCAACATCAAATGCAGCAATGGAGTACGTATTTTCTTTGCGTAAGAAGCTGCAGACGGATGATAGGAATAAGACGGATAAGTAATAAGTGGTAACTATTAAATGTTTATTGCAATTGAAAACTAATTACTTCTTCAATTGCAGAGAAATGTACCAGCATATATTAAAAAATGATGATTTATTGTGTCAAGCAGTAAATACAAGTATAACTAATGGTTTTCTCCCCTTTGAACATTTTTGCAGTTATATCCGTTTATAACTATGTTTAAATATTGTTTTAAACTTTCTTTCAGCAAATTAATTAAAAAGCTTTAAAAAAATGCCTATATTGATAATAACATCATCCATCTTGTACAGCCCTTCTGTTTATGCAGTTACACGGTAAGATAAATTTTTACCTACCCTAAAATAATACTTGCTTAAATAAATTGATTTTTTCTTCAGCTTATTTTTATCACATTACGGTTTATCAATTATTCAATACTATGATTATTCGATGTTTTGACATATCTTTTTAACAGCACAATTATGTACTTTGCTTAATTAACGATGTTCTGCAATTAAAATAAATATTTCTGAACCTTGCGCAGCCAGTAGAACAATTCCTTGATGATGTGAAGAAAGCAATACAAGTACTGCAATACAAAGCTTTAAACTAGTTTCCTTTTCACATTGAAATGTCAACCAATCCTCAAAACGGTTTCACCTCTATGATTCTTCTTATTATAAACTTTGAAATGAGAACATATAACCTTATGCAATGCAGCTGGTTGGCAAGAATTTGGTTTCCTAAATTCCATTTTTTAAATAGTATAACTATTTTTGCAAATCATAAACGAATACCTTTTGTTTGCAGAAATATGTTTCTCAAGTTCACGTATGTAACAAGTTTTAAACTATTGTTTTTTAAATCTGGGAATCTAAAATTATTTTATATGTGGGTACTTACTAATAAAATAATAAATATATTAAATAATGCAAACACAATACATTTAGTAAAATGTAATAGGTATTATATAATTTAAAAAATTTGTTCACTCCAAAGTACTTTCATCTTTGTCAATTAGGCAACTTTAGCATTTTTGTTGCGTTACACAATCATCGATATAAAAAGAATAGTTAAAAGTAATTACATAATAACAAGGTCGAACTGGTTTTTAAGGGCCCCGTGGTAAGATATAGATGGGGCTCTTATGATATACTTAATTATTACTTAACTAATGGGAACTAAGTTGCAAATGATGTCATCTCTGTGTTTTCCTCTATACCAGCAACATTGGATAAATCATGAGAAAACATAGTCGTCAATATGGTCACGTAAAGATGGAAAGTTTTGAAGATCTAGACAAGCAATATCCCTTATGATACCAACACCATTTCCTTTGAAACAGTCTTTGATTGCTGTAGTCGCAGTATCCAGAATAACATAGAATACAACAACTTTAAACCGCATTTAAGGGTCCTCAAATTCTTTCTTGTTTTCATCGTTAGTATTTGTACCAGACATCTTTTTTTTTTGTTGAGCTATTTTTTGTGGGAGCCTAATTTCAAATGTTTCTTTGATATTTTTGTTAGCTTCAGATATGATATAGCAAATCTTGCAAATGGTTCAGCTTTCATAAAGATATCAAGATTTTTAAGGACTGCAATGAGGTAGTTTAAAGTGGTTTCTACCATCTTCATGGCAAATAGACGATCCAAGCAATCTATTTGTAAATATTTTGAAACAGTTTTGCATTATTAATAATCTGCGAATTGCAGTCATTACCGTTTCAAGTTTCATCTTGTTTTTCATTAAACTTAAAGACTTGTATGCAACTTTATTCTCAAATTTTTTATTTGAACCAATGTTGTGTAATACACAAATCAGAAGCACAAATCGATCTGCTTGCAACAAAGAATATCTTCCTATTACACCATCCAGAGTTTTATCCCTTGATGTCAATCGTGTATTACTGACCATCTGCAACCTGCTGACTTTAACTTCTTCAAAACCTGCCAGTTGCCTCCACATATTTATTATTTTACTTGAATGTTTCATGAAAACAGCTGTTGCTTCCAGCCACAAAAATGTTTTTGACTGAATAGTGCAACTTATGGAATCCGTCATCAGTAGGTTGATTTTGTGTGCATACCAGCGTACAAATAGAGGCAACGAAGCATTTAACAATGTCTAGACTCCTTTATACCGTCCTGCCATATTTGAGTATCATCATATGATTGACTAACGAAATCTTTCAACTGCAAACCGAGTGCAACTACTTTAAAAGATATTTTGTTACGTAGCTTTTTACCAGAAGATGAAATAGATCAGATTGTTCAACATCTGTATCTTCTTCTTTAGATACAACATCTTCCCGAACAACCATTACATCTCTATTCTCAGGAATCATCAATTCTTCTCTATCCGAATTTTCATGAACGATAAGTTCTGGAACAATTGATCCTTCTCCATTTTAAGGGTCCTCAGTAATACGTGGGACAATAACTTTTTGAAGATTTATCAGTTCTCTATCAGTTGCAGTAATTGGCCTGCGTATTATTTGTATTTTCTTATTACTAAATTAAAGTTTTGTATTCTTTTGGCCTTTTGCAGCATTAGCCAGTTCAGATTAACACACTTTACCCTATTTAAAGCTGAACTCTATTTCTCTTTGGTTATACATTTTTTAAAGCTATATTAACTGTTTCTGTTCATATAAAAAACTGAAATACAATTTTTACTAAGAAACAATAATATTTTAAACGATAAAAATTTCAGCCCCATTAATTATTTCTGATTCTCTCTGGTTGGAAAGTACTAGCATATATAAACCAGTGTTTATTATTAATAATATTTAGTAAAAAATAATTTTTTAGTCTCTTATTGAAGACAATTTACTCTAGCACTAGTAAATGATAAAATAATGCTGCTTTATGTTTTGTTTTGCTTTAATAACTACCATATTTATTGTTTTCTCTTAGTAAAATTAATGCATATAAACAATAAATAGTTATTAACAATTTTTTAGAGAGGCCTTGGACCTTTAGGCATGGCAGGAAACCTTTCCCAACCACTTAAACGAAAATAAATTTAGCTAACTCGTTAAAGTTGAATTTATGATATAATACGCGGTAGTGGTGTCTCGCTTCACAAGCGAGAGGTTTCGAGTTCGATCCCAAGCACGTCCCTGGTAGTACCGCGTTTAACTTGTATTTCCGCGCTGTTGTTTATCAAGGTTCATGTTTCGGAGTTATCGAGTGGAGAAAGTGTTATAACCACAAAAGGTAACGTCCTCGTCTGTAGTAGCCTTTTCAGGCTTGGGGAGGTGGGGAGGTGAATTAAAATAAAATTAAATATATATATATATATATATATATATATATATATATATATATATATATATATATATATATATATATATATATATATATTAGCTGTCATGACCAGTAAAATATGGGTCTTTAGGATATCGGTACGCACTTTATTCGCGTGGTTACAGCTCATTAGAACTCTTATCCGGTTTATAGTGAAAGAAAATCTCAACCGATTGAAAATATCTTTCTAAATGATAATTTTTAATGTCCTAGATGTGAAGATTAAAATTATTGATTGCGTTAACACTAACTTTAGCACAAATGGCAATTGCGTGATATTTCTTGCAACTTTTGTCAATATCTAATGATGACTCTCTAATCCTAAAGGATAGGAGGAGACGCTTATTTTGAGAAAATATTTCTACTCAGTCCAAGCTGACAAAGCCACACCAATTCTCGTTTATTATTTTTTACTTGTCAATTCTCCTAAAAAAGAACCATTGAAAATCGGCTTTTTCTATAAAGTTATAAAATATTTTAATTAAAATCGATAAAATTGTTATTTCAATAAGTGATAAAAACAGAAACTTTCAGCACAGAATCAGCTTTAAAACTGGTCGACTTAGTAAATCTGGATTTGTCGAAAATAAGCTTTATTTCTAACTAAAGTTGAAAGCTTATATTAGCATTTCAAATCTTATTTAAATTAAAACAGATTTTTAAAAATGTTTATTTGACTTTAAGCCACGTTATAACTAAATTGTTATGGTGCTTTGTAAAAAGTATTAGTTTAAATTTAGAAACTGAAATTTTATATATTAGATTGAGACTAAATTTCCTACAGGACCCTTTTTGAAAAAGACTACGGTAAAAAGAGGATTTTAACCATTTAATAAACTATATCAAATTAACAAAGCAAACTCTTTACTTGTTCCGTAACAAAAACCTGTTTTTAATACGGATCAATAAATGTGATAAATTTTTGCTGGCTGAAAAACCAAGAGGAAAGGAAGTTAAGAAATAGCCAAATAAAAACTATCGTTATCGTTGTTGCTTTTTATAGCTATATTACTATTAAGCGAGAATTGTTTAATCAAAAAAAAAAAATCTTGATTTGACTTTTCTAATGTTTCAAATGTTATACCTAAGAGTTTTCAAGTTTTTTAAAATGTTTTTTATAAGCAAATATAAATAACATCATTTTTTTGTGAATGTATATTTAATTTAAAGTTAAAGACTTCATAACTTCTGGTTCGTTGCAAAATCATTTCACTGATTCAAAATAGCCAGTCTAAAAGAAACAACTACATTATTACAATATTTATTAACAATCATCGATAAAATATAATTCCAAAAAAAAGAAGCTAATAAAGGTAATTAAAGTTTATGGTAAAAAAATGCTAAAATGCTTAAAAGATAAAACTTACTTTGACATAATATTTAGTTGTTAGAATGTGTGTGATATTTATTTAGAAGCCAAAAATAAAGTTTGTTTTCATAACAACTAAATTAAAATTAAATATAAGTAAAATGAATTTATTGAAATAATTTTTACTTAGTAAATGAATTAATAATTTACTTAGTAAATGATTAAAAGAAATAAGCCTCAGCAATGAAACTATCTAATAATCATTTTTAACAACAGACACCAACGTAAGGGTGACCTAAGAAGTCTGTCAAAAAAATATTTGTGCTTTTCTTATAACATATGAGGCACATTTTAATACTGTCATGTCATGTAAATGTTTAGTTTGATAAAACTTAATTTGTTTAATTTTCACTATACTAATCTAAAATGAACAAAAATAATGAAGGCATTTATTTATCAATCTAAACTATGTATCTAAAACATATCTATATATCTATCTAAACATATTTATATATCTATACACCTAACTGGTTTAGAAAAGAAATAAACCTAGAAGCTAAGTTTAGGTTTAAATACTAAATAAGTTATTGTTAGTAGTAAAACAAATAAAACATTTTTTAAAAAATGAGAAAAAGATAAAAGTAGTTAAAAAAATCTATATTTAAATATTAAAGAGTAAAATCTATTTTGTAAATAAAAAAAAACATACCAACTTTTGCAAACAAAATGTATGTATGTATATAAATATATATATATATATATATATATATATATATATATATATATATATATATATATATATATATATATATATATATATATATATATATATATATATATATATAATTAAATATAAATTAATTAAAACCGTAAATTGTCTAGTATCAAGATATTGGTAAAATTGATAGAAAATTAAATTAACTATAACCATAAAAACATGTGAAACATTGGTTAAAAAGAAAATTTTTAGCAAAATTATTCAAAACTTTTCATCGCGTAAGATTTCTTTTTAAAAAATGATAAAATAATCTAAGATTTAAAAATTCAAAAAAATAAAATAATTAAAAATACTAAGAAAAGGAACCATATAAAAGAAAAGCATTTTTTTTAAAAGTATATTTGAGGCGCATCACAGGAAAAGGTATCAAGTCTTAGTTTTTAGATTCGGAGGTATACACGTTTAAACTCCCTTTTTTTTTTCCCTTTTTTCAATCAGTTTTATTGTTTAGTAGTAGTTTTTGAAATATATAATCAAAATATACATTCACTTTATTACTATGTTAAATTTACACAGTTTTAAATTATGTCAAACTTTTTAAGTCTATTTACTGTAATTTCATTTTCAAAACACTTCCATAAGAAACTATGTAGAATTTTCAATAATAATAATACTATTAAGTTAATTTTTGTTTTATTTTGTGGCTTATTCCTAACTCTATGCAACTGTACCAAAGACTTGGTTCCTTTTTTTTTTTTAAACAAAACAATCCAAAATCTTACACATTTCTTACATAGATTGCAGTAAAATAACATGAGCTATAGTAATAACATTGATTGTGACACAATCAAAAATAATTTAAGTAAATTATAAACATAATGTTTATAATTTAATTAAGTTCAAATCAAAATTCAAAAAAATTCAAATCAAAATTCAAAAAAATTCAAATCAAAATTCAAAAAAAAAATAATACTTTTACTGATACATTTTATGTCTATAAAAATCTTAAAATAATAAGCTTTAAATAAATAGAAAACAAACTGTTATCAACAGAACTTCAAACAAAAATGGATTTTTTTTACCTGATTGTGGTTGTTTTCGTGGTTCTACTAAAATAGTTAATACAGACTTAAAAAAAGTACATTAGTAAAGAAAAAGAAAAACACAAAATGTTGAGAACTTTTTAAACAAATATTTACATACATTAAAACAAAAGGTTCAACAACAGATTGTGGTTGTTGTTCTGTTTCTAGTTAAAATATAAAAAGAGATTAAAAAAAAATAATTAAGTTAAAAAAAAACAAATTTATATTAACAGCACAACATATTAAAATAGGTTTTTTATAAAAGAGATAATTTAAAAACGTATGAAATTAATTTCTTACCAGGTTTTGTTTCACTACAAATTAAAAAATGTTTGGTATTAAAAATAAAAACACATATTACTTTTTTTTAAAACTAGCCTTTTTTAAAACTTTTTTTAAAGAGACTAATTTTTTTAAAGAGGTAAGATTTTTTTTCAATGTATTGATATACATTGAAAAAAAATCTTACCTGTTTGTGGTTGTTTTTGCAGTTCTAGTAAAAATATAAATACAGATTTAAAAAAATACATTAGTAAAGAAAAAGACATTATATTAGGAACATTTAAAAAAAAGATCTAAATACATTGAAACAAATAGTTTCTTTCTTACCAGATTGTGCTTGTTGTTGTGTATCTGCTTAAAAAAAAACAGATTAAAAATAAATAATTACGTAAAAGAAAAAAAATTGGTATCAATCACACCTGCCTGCAACCACTTTTTAGTTTTGCGGTTTGACTCCGCCCATTGTCATACATCGTTGGATTCATTACAATGAGTATATTTAGGTTTGATAGGTCACCATAATCATAAAATTCCTTTTAGAAAAATATTTACGTTTTAGGGGCCAAAAGGGCCCAATTTAGAAAAACTTTCCTAAA